ATGAGGTACACAATAAACTAGCCACTACCATCCACAGGATGGACATGAGGTACACAATAAACTAGCCACTACCATCCACAGGATGGATCTGACGTACACAATAATTTAAACCTCTTCGGTGGCAAAATGTAATCTAATCAATAGTTACATAAATTACCATAAGTAGCAGCATATGTATACCGTACTTTTCATAACCCAAAACCACCACCAGGGCCAGGAGCTGAGTCTCGACCCCTGCAACCACAATTAGGTGAGTACAACAACAACACTGGGTGTAACACTAGGTGTAACACTCACCAGCTGTCTATATTCACTAGAAATAAACAGGTACATAAACGTCAATCGACTGTTCTGGGTGGCATCCTGGGGAAGAATCACAAGGGAGCAATGAATATAAATCAAAATGCTCGAATCTCTTGGATTATCCAGAATTATTAGCCAATCATTCCAGGTTAAAACTAATTTGCCACCAATCTAGAGCAGCAACAATGTCACGGGAGTAAACGAGGTCACAGTAAACGAAAGAGGTCACAGCTAAGCAGGTTCCCAGTGGAAATAAGTCACTCTGACTGATTTTGGGTTATCTCAGGTTGTCTACACATATGCTGCTATGTATGATAATCTATGTATCTGTATTTACGTATACCTGAATAACTAACTTACTAGGCAGGTGTGAGAAACGTTCTTTAAGGGCGAAGAGGTGTTTCATTCGGGTGAAATGTGTAGGGAAGCGAGACTCAATCTGTCAGAGTAGTAATGTGGTGGCAAGCGTAGGATATTAGCCTTTATTGACAACGTTTCGCCCATGCTGTGGGTTTTTCTCAAGTCATACATAGAGAAACACTGGTCAACATACAAGATATTTATTCAGATTTCTCCGTTAGTAAGTCGACAGAGCCACTGCGTTGGTGGATCGTTGCCAATATCCTGCCCTGGAACCAATAGACTAGCATTATCCTGCCCTGGAACCAATAGACTAGCATTATCCTGCCCTGGAACCAATAGACTAGCATTATCCTGCCCTGGAACCAATAGACTAGCATTATCCTGCCCTGGAACCAATAGACTAGCATTATCCTGCACTGGAACCAATAGACTAGCATTATCCTGCCCTGGAACCAATAGACTAGCATTATCCTGCACTGGAACCAATAGACTAGCATTATCCTGCCCTGGAACCAATAGACTAGCATTATCCTGCCCTGGAACCAATAGACTAGCATTATCCTGCCCTGGAACCAATAGACTAGCATTATCCTGCCCTGGAACCAATAGACTAGCATTATCCTGCCCTGGAACCAATAGACTAGCATTATCCTACACTGGAACCAATAGACTAGCATTATCCTGCCCTGGAACCAATAGACTAGCATTATCCTGCACTGGAACCAATAGACTAGCATTATCCTGCCCTGGAACCAATAGACTAGCATTATCCTGCCCTGGAACCAATAGACTAGCATTATCCTGCACTGGAACCAATAGACTAGCATTATCCTGCCCTGGAACCAATAGACTAGCATTATCCTGCACTGGAACCAATAGACTAGCATTATCCTGCCCTGGAACCAATAGACTAGCATTATCCTGCACTGGAACCAATAGAATAGCATTATCCTGCCCTGGAACCAATAGACTAGCATTATCCTGCCCTGGAACCAATAGACTAGCATTATCCTGCCCTGGAACCAATAGACTAGCATTATCCTGCACTGGAACCAATAGACTAGCATTATCCTGCCCTGGAACCAATAGACTAGCATTATCCTGCCCTGGAACCAATAGACTAGCATTATCCTGCACTGGAACCAATAGACTAGCATTATCCTGCCCTGGAACCAATAGACTAGCATTATCCTGCCCTGGAACCAATAGACTAGCATTATCCTGCCCTGGAACCAATAGACTAGCATTATCCTGCCCTGGAACCAATAGACTAGCATTATCCTGCCCTGAAACCAATAGACTAGCATTATCCTGCCCTGGAACCAATAGACTAGCATTATCCTGCCCTGGAACCAATAGACTAGCATTATCCTGCACTGGAACCAATAGACTAGCATTATCCTGCCCTGAAACCAATAGACTAGCATTATCCTGCCCTGAAACCAATAGACTAGCATTATCCTGCCCTGGAACCAATAGACTAGCATTATCCTGCCCTGGAACCAATAGACTAGCATTATCCTGCACTGGAACCAATAGACTAGCATTATCCTGCCCTGGAACCAATAGACTAGCATTATCCTGAACTGGAACCAATAGACTAGCATTATCCTGCACTGGAACCAATAGACTAGCATTATCCTGCACTGGAACCAATAGACTAACATTATCCTGCCCTGGAACCAATAGACTAGCATTATCCTGCCCTGGAACCAATAGACTAGCATTATCCTGCCCTGGAACCAATAGACTAGCATTATCCTGCCCTGGAACCAATAGACTAGCATTATCCTGCCCTGGAACCAATAGACTAGCATTATCCTGCACTGGAACCAATAGACTAGCATTATCCTGCCCTGGAACAATAGACTAGCATTATCCTGCACTGGAACCAATAGACTAGCATTATCCTGCTCTGGAACCAATAGACTAGCATTATCCTGCACTGGAACCAATAGACTAGCATTATCCTGCCCTGGAACCAATAGACTAGCATTATCCTGCACTGGAACCAATAGACTAGCATTATCCTGCCCTGGAACCAATAGACTAGCATTATCCTGCACTGGAACCAATAGACTAGCATTATCCTGCACTGGAAGAAATAGATTAGCATTATCCTGCACTGGAACTAATAGACTAGCATTATCCTGCACTGGAACCAATAGACTAGCATTATCCTGCACTGGAACCAATAGACTAGCATTATCCTGCACTGGAACCAATAAACTAGCATTATCCTGCCCTGGAACCAATAGACTAGCATTATCCTGCCCTGGAACCAATAGACTAGCATTATCGTGCCCTGGAACCAATAGACTAGCATTATCCTGCCCTGGAACCAACAGACTAGCATTATCCTACACTGGAACCAATAGACTAGCATTATCCTGCACTGGAACGAATAGACTAGCATTATCCTGCACTGGAACCAATAGACTAGCATTATCCTGCCCTGGAACCAACAGACTAGCATTATCCTACACTGGAACCAATAGACTAGCATTATCCTGCACTGGAACCAATAGACTAGCATTATCCTGCCCTGGAACCAAGACTAGCATTATCCTGCACTGGAACCAAAAGACTAGCATTATCCTGCACTGGAACCAATAGACTAGCATTATCCTACACTGGAACCAATAGACTAGCATTATCCTGCACTGGAACCAATAGACTAGCCTTATCCTGCACTGGAACCAATAGACTAGCATTATCCTGCACTGGAACCAATAGACTAGCATTATCCTGCCCTGGAACCAATAGACTAGCATTATCCTGCCCTGGAACCAATAGACTAGCATTATCCTGCCCTGGAACCAATAGACTAGCATTATCCTACACTGGAACCAATAGACTAGCATTATCCTGCACTGGAACCAATAGACTAGCATTATCCTGCCCTGGAACCAATAGACTAGCATTATCCTGCCCTGGAACCAATAAACTAGCATTATCCTGCCCTGGAACCAATAAACTAGCATCCTGCACTGGAACCAATAGACTAGCATTATCCTACACTGGAACCAATAGACTAGCATTATCATGCACTGGAACCAATAGACTAGCATTATCCTGCCCTGGAACCAATAGACTAGCATTATCCTGCACTGGAACCAATAAACTAGCATTATCCTGCACTGGAACCAATAGACTAGCATTATCCTGCCCTGGAACCAATAGACTAGCATTATCCTGCACTGGAACCAATAGACTAGCATTATACTACACTGGAACCAATAGACTAGCATTATCCTACACTGGAACCAATAGACTAGCATTATCCTACACTGGAACCAATATACTAGCATTATCCTACACTGGAACCAATAGACTAGCATTATCCTGCACTGGAACCAATAGACTAGCATTATCCTGCCCTGGAACCAATAAACTAGCATTATCCTGCCCTGGAACCAATAGACTAGCATTATCCTACACTGGAACCAATAGACTAGCATTATCCTACACTGGAACCAATAGACTAGCATTATCCTACACTGGAACCAATAAACTAGCATTATCCTGCACTGGAACCAATAAACTAGCATTATCCTGCCCTGGAACCAATAAACTAGCATTATCCTGCCCTGGAACCAATAGACTAGCATTATCCTACACTGGAACCAATAGACTAGCATTATCCTACACTGGAACCAATAGACTAGCATTATCCTACACTGGAACCAATAAACTAGCATTATCCTACACTGGAACCAATAAACTAGCATTATCCTGCACTGGAACCAATAAACTAGCATTATCCTGCACTGGAACCAATAAACTAGCATTATCCTACACTGGAGTCTTTATCCATCGCCTCGGTATTCTACAGTTTGTCTTCACCACTGTGGGTTATCCAGTGGCAGGATAAGCGCCACTTACACCCATAATACAGTACTTACAAACACACTGGTGACCTTCTGTATCGTGTACTTACAAACACACTGGTGACCTTCTGTATCGTGTACTTACAAACACACTGGTGACCTTCTGTATCGTGTGCTTACAAACACACTGGTGACCTTCTGTATCGTGTACTTACAAACACACTGGTGACCTTCTGTATCGTGTACTTACAAACACACTGGTGACCTTCTGTATCGTGTACTTACAAACACACTGGTGACCTTCTGTATCGTGTACTTACAAACACACAGATGATAGACTTTTCTGGAAGGAAAGATGTTGACAATTGCGTCTTGATTTTTCCAGGCCTCTGACGCGACTATCGGAAGAAGTGTAAGTTAAGGAAATGTGTATAATTTTTTATATATAAATTGTAACTGGTGTGTTTGTATAGCATATACATCTAGCACTTTTATTCCCTGCAGAGTGTATGCTGGTGGGTCTCGAGGAAGGTACCTACTTCTACAAGAGTCGAGGTACAGGTGATGTGTGTGGAGTTTACTTACTGAGTCAGCCGGATCAAGCAGTCCAGGTCACCTTCGACTACCTTGATGTTGACTGTGAGGCTGATGGCCTTGTTAGTGTGAGTTGCTGTGTTGATGTCCCGGGGGGTTGAGTCACAGCTCCTGGACCCGCAGATTGTGTAAGTGTGGTAATGTCCCAGGGGACGAGTAGCATCTCCAGGACCGGCAGATTGTGTGTGGTAATGTCCCAGGGGACGAGTAGCATCTCCAGGACCGGCAGATTGTGAAGCTAGTGTTGTCGTTAGTGTGAGGAACTGTGCTGATGTCCCGGGGGTTGAGTCACAGCTCCTGGACCCGCAGATTGTGTAAGTGTGGTAATGTCCCAGGGGACGAGTAGCATTTCCAGGACCGGCAGATTGTGTGTGGTAATGTCCCAGGGGACGAGTAGCATCTCCAGGACCGGCAGATTGTGAAGCTAGTGTTGTCGTTAGTGTGAGGAACTGTGCTGATGTCCCGGGGGTTGAGTCACAGCTCCTGGACCCGCAGATTGTGTAAGTGTGGTAATGTCCCAGGGGACGAGTAGCATCTCCAGGACCGGCAGATTGTGTAAGTGTGGTAATGTCCCAAGGGGTCCAATCACAGCTCCTGGACCCGCACACTGTGAAGCTAGTGTTGTCGCTAGTGTGAGTGCGTTAATGCCCCGGAGGCCGAGTCACAGCTCCTGTACCGGAAGACTGCAAACCTGGCAGTGTTATTAGTGTGCGTTAATACCTCAAGGGGTCGAATCACAGCTCCTGGACTCAACTCTCAACAGACTGTGATCGGATTATCTCCTTAACCTAGCAAGTCTTACATATGTTCATAAATCTGTTATGGAGTTTAATGTGTTACCGCAGTGTTATAGTGATATTAATTATATTTATCTTGCTATGGAATTGCTCTGTTGTATGCCAGGTTCTAGCTAGCCATGAGCTGTGACTCGACCCCTGCAACTGCATCTAGGTGAGTACACACACACACACAGAGTGAGGTAGTGGAGGCAGGAACCATACATAGCTTTAAGACGAGGTATGACAAAGCTCATGGAGCAAGGAGAGGACCTAGTAGCTATCTGTGAAGAGGCAGGGCCAGGAGCTGAGTCTCGACCCCTGCAACCACAAATAGGTGAGTACAAATAGGTGCCTAGCGAGAACTAGACACCTTGAAAGCGGTGGGCCCAGATAACATCTCTCCCTGGGTCCTGAGAGAGGGAGCAGAGGCACTATGTGCACCCCTAACAACAATCTTCAACACATCTATCATAGGCCCTTAGAGAGGGAGCAGAGGCACTATCTGTACCCCTAACAACAATATTCAATACATCTATCGAAACAGGGTGGGTACCTGAGGTATGGAAGACAGCAAATGTAGTCCCGATTTTTAAGAAAGGAGACAGACAGGCTGCACTAAACTACAGACCAGTGTCACTGACATGTATAGTATGCAAAGTCATGGAGAAGATTATCAGGAGACGAGCGGTGGAGCACCTGGAGATTACTGGACTAATACATGACAACCAGCACGGCTTCAGGGAAGGAAAATCCAACATTACAAACCTACTGGAGCTCTACGACAAGGTAACGGAAGACAGGACAGAGAGAGGGATGGGTAGACTGCATCTTCTTGGTCTGTAAGAAGATTTTGGACACAGTACCACAAGAGACTAGTTTACAAGCTGGAGGAGCAAGCAGGAATGACAGGGAAAGTACTGGAATGGATCAAGGAATATCTAACAGGAAGGAAACATGTGTGGGTACAAGACGAGGTATCAGAGTGGGGTTCCACAAGGATCAGTCCTAGGACCGGTGCTGTTTCTTGTATATGTGAATGATATGACGGAAGGGATAGATTCAGAGGTGACCCTTTCTGCAGACGATGTGAAGCTAATGAGGAGAATACAAGTGGAGGAGGGTCAGGTAGGCCTACAAGGGGATCTGGACAGGCTGCAAGCCTGGTCAGACAAATGGCTCCTAGAGTTTACCCCCACCAAGTACAAAGTTATGAAGCTTGAGGAAGGACAAAGAAGACCGCAGACGGAGTACAGCCTAAGAGGTCAAAGGCTGGAAAACTCACTCCAAGGAAAAGGATCTTGGAGTGAGCATCATACCGAGCACATCTCCCGAGGAGCACATCAACCAAATAACTGCTGCAACATAAGGACGCCTGGCAAACCTCAGAATAGCGTTCCGACACCTGAGTAAGGAGTCATTCACGACACTGTGCACAGTGCACATCAGGCGCATATTGGAGTATGCAGCACCAGTATGGAACCCACACCTGGTCAAACACGTCAAGGAATTAGAGAAAGTGCAAAGGTTTGCAAGAAGACTAGTCCCGGAGCTTAGGGGTATGTCCTACGAGGAAATGTTAAGGGAAATCAACCTGACGACACTGGAGGACAGGAGGGATAGAGGAGACATGATATATAAAACACTGAGAAGAACTGAAAGGTGGATAGGGACAGGATGTTCCAGAGATGGGACACAGCAACAAGGGGTCACAACTGGAAGCTGAAAACCCAGATGACTCACAGGGATGTTAGGAAGTACTTTTTCAGTCACAGAGTTGTCAGGAAGTGGAACAATCTGGAGAGTGATGTAGTGGAGGCAGGATCCATACATAACTTTAGGGAGTAGCATGATAAAGCTAATGGAGCAGCGAGAGAATGAACCTAGTAGCGACCACTGAAGAGGAAGGGCCGGGAACTGTGAATCGACCCCTGCGACCACAAAGGTGAGTACAACTAGGTAAGTACACACACTGAAGGTCCTCTGGTGTACTCACTGCATGTGGAAAGTGTCATAATACCTTCGTGTTGTCCATAATTTTTCAGTGTGTCAGCGGTAATCTTAATGTAATTAATACTATGTGTCGTGACAAGTACACATATGTTTGTGAAGCTTTCACAACACCTGTGTTGACGCACTTAGGTGTAATTACAGTAGGAAAAAACACATGCACGTGTGACTTCAGTAGATGTCTCTATCACTGTTTGTGTCACTGTCATTCTCTATCGCTGTCTCTCTATTTCACTGTTTCTTTGCGTCCCTCTGTTCACTGTATCACTGTTTAACTTTGTGTCACTGTTTATGTACATTTTTCTGTATGTCACTGTCGCCTTGTCTTACCGTCACTTTCACTGTATCTGTGGGTCACTGTTTTATGTCTGTCACTGTTTTTTTTAATTTCACTATCCTTCTAGACGTCTATATTTTTGTGCGTCAGCAACCACACAACCTACCCGTCTAATGCCCTTGAAGACCACTTCCTGACGACCACATCCTGTCTAACACCTTCCACGTTCAGTTCCTGACGACCACATCCTGTCTAACACCTTCCACGTTCAGTTCCTGACGACTATCACTGTCTAGCAACTTCCTAGTTCAGTCCCTGACGACCACACCCTAACATCTTCCACGTTCAGTTCCTGACGACTATCACTGTCTAGCAACTTCCTAGTTCAGTCCCTGACGACCATACCCTAACACCTTCCACGTCCAGTTACTGACGACTGTCCCTATCTAATAACTTCCTACTCCAGTTCCTGACGACTCCCATTTACCTAATACCTTCCGAGTGCAGTTCCAGGAGGGTCTCCACCTGTCTAACCCCTTCCGTCTCCTCTATACAGTTCGTGGACGGCTGGGAGCTGGGAGGAGAGCTCTTTCCAAGCGAGGTGGACGCCCCGTTGGAGGGGCGGGTCCACGAGTTTTGCGGGCGTCTCAAAACTAAAACATTTACTAGTAGTGGGAACGCTGCACTCATCCAGTACCGAGTACCAAGCAGGGGAGACGGCTTCAGGATCACAGTCAGATACGTCAGGAACCCCGCACGTGAGTACATGTTCACTGTACGTGTACACCTGGAGTAAACCATACCACGGGCGGGATTGAACCCGCGGTATCAGAGTCTCAAAACTCCAGACCGTCGCGTTAGCCACGCGACGGTCTGGAGTTTTGAGACTCTCTGACCGAGGGTTCTATCCCCGCCCGTGGTATGGTTTGTTTGCAATCGTGTCATTACGATTTCGTGAGTCACCTGGAGTACTTGCCTCTCTATATGCTTGCCTTCATGCATACATATCTGTTGCTGTACTGTGCTCGCCTGAGTACATTTTCTCGCTGAGTACATGAACATTGAGTCCAAACGTTATTAGACTACATGCTTTTATAAGTTTATACACACCTGAGTGCTTATCTTGAGTACAAGCTTGACGTGAGTACATACCTGTATTTAACTCGTCATCAAAAATCGGGAGACAGGAGTCGGAAACCAAACCGAAACTCCACCAACTAGTAATAATAATAATAATAATAATAATAATAATAATAATAATAATAATAATAATAATACCTATATTTACTAGCAGTACTTGATACAACTTATACAGACCATAGCTCACACCAATGACAAACTGCTATATAGAAAGTTACTTGTTATGTTGAGCACTTCCCGTAAATTATGTCAGTTTTGTCCCAGGATGTGACCCACACCAGTCCACTAACACCCAGGATGTGACCCACACCAGTCCACTAACACCCAGGATGTAACCCACACCAGTCCACTAACACCCAGGATGTGACCCACACCAGTCCATTAACACCCAGGATGTGACCCACACCAGTCCACTAACACCCAGGATGTGACCCACACCAGTCCACTAACACCCAGGATGTGACCCACACCAGTCCACTAACACCCAGGATGTGACCCACACCAGTCCACTAACACCATACTCCACTGGATGTGACCCACACCAGTCCACTAACACCCAGGATGTGGCCCACACCAGTCCACTAACACCCAGGATGTGACCCACACCAGTCCACTAACACCCAGGATGTGACCCACACCAGTCCACTAACACCCAGGATGTGATCCACACCAGTCCACTAACACCCAGGATGTGATCCACACCAGTCCACTAACACCCAGGATGTGACCCACACAAGTCCACTAACACCCAGGATGTGACCCACACCAGTCCACTAACACCTAGGATGTGACCCACACCAGTCCACTAACATCCAGGATGTGACCCACACCAGTCCACTAACACCCAGGATGTGACCCACACCAGTCCACTAACACCCAGGATGTGACCCACACCAGCCCACTAACACCAGGATGCACCCACACCAGTCCACTAACACCCAGGATGTGACCCACACCAGTCCACTAACACCCAGGATGTGACCCACACCAGTCCACTAATACCCAGGATGTGACCCACACCAGTCCACTAACACCCAGGATGTGACCCACACCAGTCCACTAACACCCAGGATGTGACCCACACCAGTCCACTAACACCCAGGATGTGACCCACACCAGTCCACTAACACCCAGGTACCTATTTTACTGATGGGTGAACATGGACAGCAGGTGTCTTACGGAAACACGTCTTAATGTTTCCACCCTTACCAGGGGCTCGATCCCTGGACCTCAGTGTGTGAGCTGAGTATGGTAGCCATCGAGCTACGAGACCCCGAAAGAGATTCGAAAGGAATCCTAGAGTCGGACACAGAGATACCGAGCCCTGTCCTCCACTTGCCTGTGGAAAACGGTAATGTTTGGGGAGGGCCTATAAACAGTAAACACCCTGACACCACCATTGTTCAGGACCCTGTACACCGTGTACGTTAGGCCCATATTGGAGTATGCGGCACCAGTTTGGAACCCACACCTAGCCAAGCACGTAAAGAAACTAGAGAAAGTGCAAAGGTTTGCAACAAGACTAGTCCCAGAGCTAAGAGGTATGTCCTACGAGGAGAGGTTAAGGGAAATCAACCTGACGACCTGGAAGGAAGAGAGATAGGGGGGCTGATAACACAACAAAATACTGGGAATTACAAGGTGGACAAAGACAGGAGTTCCAGAGTTTGGGACACAGTAAAAAGGGGACACAGTTGGAAGCTGAAGACCCAGTAAATCACAGGGTTTAGGAAGTATTTCTTTCCCACAGATAGTCAGTAATGGAATAGTTGGGAAGCATGTAGTGGGGGGGCAGGATCCTAATACTTTAAGCAGAGGTATGATAAAGCCACGGCTCAGGGAGAGTGACCTAGTAGCGATCATGAAGAGGGGGGGCCAGGGCCGGACTCGACCCCTGCAACCCAATAGGTGAGAACTAGGTGAGTATGTCTCTATACCCACGATCCAGGACTGGGGTTTAAACATTTCTTCGCTTAGTCCCTAAGCAAACATAACCAAACCATTACAAACGGAACAAACAGGTTTTTGATTATATAGAAAAACATGAGGGGGGGGTGAAACATTACCCCCCGATGGTTCGACCCATAGGGTGGAAACAGGACGTGTTTCCTTAAGACCCTTTTGTTATGTTCACCCCATAATAGGAACCTGGGTGGTCATCTGGTGGGGGGTTACCTGGGAAAAAAAACGACAAATGTGCGGAAATGATCTCATAAAAACGGCTTTCTAATTTTATTTCACTGGGTGACTATGGTTGTATAATTTGTGTCATGTACGGTAGAAAATAGTTTATTATTATATTATTATCCCATCCACCACCCCCACACCTCCATCCCCACAGCACCTGGAGACGTCCTCCATCCCTACATCCCCCATCCCCCACAGCCCGGGAGACGTCCCTCCATCCCACATCCCCCATCCCCCGCCCCTGGAGACCCCTCCATCCTACACCTCCATCCCACAGCCCCGGGAGACGTCCCTCCATCCCTACATCCCCACCCCCACACCCCTAGACGTCCCTCCACCCCTACATCCTCCATCATCACAGCACCTGGGAATCCTTCCATTCCTACATCCTCCACATCACAGCACCGGGAACATCCCTACATCCTCCCCCCCAAAGCACCGGGAACATCCCACATCCCCCATCACAACACCTGGAGACATCCCCCATCCCTACATCCCCCATCATCCGCACCTGGAGACATCCTCCATCCACCACCCCACGCCCCGGGAACATCCCCCCATCCCTACATCCACCACCCCACGCCACCGGGAGAAAACCCTCCACCCTACACCCACCATCATCACAGCACCGGGAGACACCCTCCATCCCTACACCACCATATCACACACCTGGAGACATCCCCCCCCAAACCCTCCATCCTCCTCCACAGCACCTGGGACACCCTCCACCCCTACACCCCATCAAAAAGAACCGGGAGACATCCCCCCATCCCTACATCCACCTATCACAGCCCCTGGAGACTCCCTCCACCCTCCTCCTCCATCATCACAGCCCTGGAGCATCCCCCATCCCACATCCTCCATCATCAAACCCTGGAGACACCCTCCACCCTACATCCTCCTCATCACAACACCTGGAGACACCCCCCATCCCTACATCCACCATCCCACGCCCCTGGAGACATCCCTCCATCCACCATCCCCACGCCACCTGGAGACATCCCTCCATCCCTACATCCACCATCCCCACGCCACCTGGAGACATCCCTCCATCCACCATCCCCACGCCACCTGGAGACATCCCTCCATCCACCATCCCCACGCCACCTGGAGACATCCCTCCATCCACCATCCCCACGCCACCTGGAGACATCCCTCCACCCCCCATCACACAACACCGGGGAGCCACCCCCAAACATCCCCACCCCACCCCACCGGGAGACATCCCCCATCCCTACACCCACCATCCCCACGCCCCCTGGAGACATCCCCCCCATCCCACATCCCCCCATCCCCACGCCCCGGGGGAACATCCCTCCATCCTACATCCACCATCCCCAGCCACCTGGAGAAAACCCCCCCATCCACCATCCCCACCCCACCTGGGAACTCCTCCATCCACCATCCCCACCCCCCGGAGAATCCCCCCATCCCTACCCACCATCCCCATGCCACCTGGAGACATCCCTCCATCCACCATCCCCACGCCACCTGGAGACATCCCTCCATCCCTACATCCACCATCCCCACGCCACCTGGAGACATCCCTCCATCCACCATCCCCACGGCACCTGGAGACATCCCTCCATCCCTACACCCTCCACCCCCACGCACCGGAGACATCCCCCTTCCCCTACATCCACCATCCCCACGCCCCTGGAGACATCCCTCCACACCATCCCCCAGGGCCCCCTGGGACATCCCCCCACCCCCTACATCCACCTATCAGTGGGGGTTCGAACACGTGGATTAGGAAAAGTAATACCACGTAGGCGGGTATACTAAAATTAAGATAATGTGGAAACCCTTCACCCGAACCTTGTCTCCTTGCTCCTCTCGTAAACCTACTGGCCCGCCCACAGTACCCATATGTGGGGTGCTTTGAAAATGCTAGGTCGCACAATATAGTTCGACAGTGACTCAGGCGAGACGGGTTTGGCAGTGAGTCAACCATGGACTGGGGGACTGGAACGTTTACTAACTGAGACAAAAACCCTCCCCCCGCCCCTGGAGAATCCCTACACCACCAAACCCCCCGACACCGGAACACCCCCCACCCCACCTCCATCCCCACGCACCTGGAGAAAATCCCTCCATCCCTACATCCACCATCCCCCCGCCACCTGGAACTCCCCACATCCACCACCCCACCCACCCGGAGACATCCCTCCACCCTACATCCCCATCCCCACCCACCCGGAGACATCCCCCCATCCCCACATCCCCATCCCCCCCCACCTGGGGACATCCCTAATCCCCATCCCCCGCCACCCGGAGACACCCCCCTCCCACCCACCATCCCCACGCCCCCCCTGGAGACCCCTCCATCTCTTTGAAGTCACCTTTACAAAAAAGTCACGGACATCTTTATCCGGACGCCAAAAAATTTTTCGTTGAAAATAATTGGAAAGATGGGAAAAAAAGGGGAAAA